TATTAACTCTACCTAATCTTCCATATTATATAATGGAGCTCGACAGCTTATATAAAAATAGTTCGCAGATCAAACAGATGTCATAAATTCTTTAGTTTATTTAATCAAGTCTCACTAGTAAGTGATATGTCCATTCCTCAAGATAGGTACGTCACTTATAGTGTTGTACTCATTTATTTAAACTATTGTCTATATGATATTGGTTCGGTCTCGTATTTTCAAAAATTAAAATATAACTTTTTCAAAATTAAAACATTATTTTTCTAAAAATCAAATTTATATATATTAAATTAAATTTAAATTACTTTAAAGATGAAAAAAAAATATTCCCTGTCGACACTAAGCACATCTAAATTCCTAAATGTGCATCTATCTCATTGCAAAAGTAAAATAAAATGAAGACAAGTTTGCACACCACTACTCCATGTGGCATGGAAGTGGTTCAGAAGCTTCCAAAACATCCCAGAATTGCCCAAAATTGCTCAAAATCCATCTAGAAAAGTTCTCGAGCTTTATAGCGCTAGAATATGTGCTATAACGCTTATTTCTAGCCAAGACTGGTGCTATGGTGCCACCCTGCAGGCAAGATATATGTTTTACTCTGTTTTGGCTTTGTTTCATCTCGTTTCAACTCTGGTTCGCTCCTAGTGTTATACCTACAATATAGACATAAAAAACATTTCTTTAAAGTGTAATTTCATTCAAAAACATGGGACAAATATGAAAGATATTAAACATAGAAAGACATATCAAAATGCGCTTGATCTGAATTTCCTTCCCTACTCAATTTGGCTCCAAATTACAGCATTTTTGCTTCATTTTCTCCAAAAATCCATTTCTTGTACCTAAAAACAAAAATATGCAAAATAACTTTCTTTAAAGTGCAATATCATAAAAAATGTACTTAAAATAATCATGAAATGTACACTAAAAATAGGTAATTTTAAGGTGGATCAAGCAAAGGTGGTATTGCTCGATCCGTAAGGACCGATCGAGGTAGAAGTGGTGTCAATTGATCGACAATGACCTATTGGGCACAAGTGATGTCAGTTTGTCTAGGACGACCGATTGAGGCATAATGTCACTGATCTGTCCAGGACAATTAATCAAGGCACAAATGGTCGATCCAGACACAAGTGGTGTTGATCGGTCTGAAATACTGATCCAGGCACAAGTAGTGCAAGTGCAGGATGATCTATGCATGGCACACATGACACAATCCAAGGCAAGCAAACATGCTTGATAGCAAACCATGCTCGTGTTAACATCCTCACTTAGGAACCTAAAGTTTAGCACTTTGATATACGACATCACTGCCTCCTACTTTGGTGAGGCACGTGGGCGGCTCCTCTTTTAGATTCCCTGAAGGGAAAGCTCTCCCTAACGTCACTAAATGGGCTAGCTACAAAGCTTTTCCCCATTTCGTGTACTCCTTAGAACTTTACAAAGTGAGTCAGCTACAAAGATTTTCTCACTTAACAAAGTCCAACCTCCTATTTTCTCCAAGAAAATTGGGGAATCTAAAGCAAGGAGGAGAAGGGACTCTAACGCATTAGAACTTATGCTAGAGCTCACAACAAAGGATTCACTCAGCTCTACGAAGGTTATTTGGCCACACATAAAATTGTATCCTTGGGTTTTCTATGAGGAAAGCGGCGATCCATGACATAGGCACTTGGGCATGCTGGTTCACGCCGGCCGGCAAACTCACCCCTGTGGGCAATCGAAACCCCCATGAAGGCACAACTAGGACCTTGAGCTAGCTAGGGAAGGAAATGTCAGAGGGGAGAATCTCACCATCACGGAGTTTTCTTGATGTCCACTGGAGTGCAAGAATAAGCTCTCCTAGAAGATAGGAGAAAACCCACAAGTCCTTCCCGACACTAAGAAGAAGCTCTCCTCGCTAGAGAGATCGTCGGAGTTGCCTTCTCGCAAGCTAGGATGATGCTTTCATAGTCATTATTCTTGAAAACTTGGTCAGATTTGAAGATGATGGTGGCACATAAAGAAAATGTTGGAGTATGACCAACCCTTAACTCCCTCTTGAAGAAAAACACCCCAAAGTTTAAGCCCTCAAAGAAAAGAGAAAATTAAGAAGAAGAAAGAGAAAAAGGATGCAGAAGAAGAGGTGGATGAGGAAGAAGAATCCTAGCCCTGCAAATAATCCCTCACAACACTCTGCAGAAGCTATCTCAAGCTCCCTTACACTCCTTCAACTCACCCTAGCAAAATGACATTGATCCTCTCGAATGTGGAGGGCTGGTTCGAATAAACAACAAGTCCCTCCCCCAAAATAATCCAAATTCCCCCAAAAGATGCCCATGAAACTTCTAAAGTGAAGGAAAAAAGGTCCTTTTGGATCACTCCCAAGGCTCATGATGAAAATCCTGCGAAAATGGTGACTTCAGAAGTTGAAATGGCACTTGAATCGATCAAAATCGCGACCAGGGTGGTGATCGGTGCCTTGACGCCACTTTCCCAGGTTCCTTGGTGCTACTTTTTTGGGTGCCCAATAGCTGGTCTAGGAGCCTAGGCACCAAAATAGGAGGCGCCTAAGCCCAAGCACTCGAGAAAATTAGGGTTTTTAGCCTGTTTGTCGCCTAGGCGCCCTGTTTTTTTTGCTCCTAGACGCCAGGTCTGTGCCAAATTTCAGACATCTATAGGCTCATTCTTGAAGGTCTGGCAAGGCATTTCAGGCTCATGGGCCCCTACGGTCGGCGTCGAGGCGCCAGTCTAGTATGAAACCCTGATTTTCATTGGAAACACCCGACATAAGATCTTCTTGATCTGAAAGCTATGAGAGGCTCCATGTGAGTAAAATATAGTATCATAACTTCAAAATGGAGTGATTTGGTTGGTTATTCACTGGAAAAATTGGCCTAAACCGCGACCCGAGTAGGGTGTCCCAATCCCTAATTTTTTTGTAGCGCATGTATGTGGACTCCATGGTTTTCCATTGTTGTGGGAGGCTTCAGATGGACGTCTGGTGAATTCTAATCATTAAATTATACCTAACACATCTCACATCCCAGATGGGACTCCTGGAGGGAATTTTTCTGGTTATGGCTGAATCGCCACCAAACCTAGCTAGTTGCCCAAGCAAGGGCCAAAAGGTCTCGGGTGGGTGTCTTTAGTTACTAGATGCTTCAGATGAGCTGTGGACCACCCTTAGTCATGCAGGTGGACACCCTACACTTGTAACATTAAAAATTGATGCCAACAGTTGGCTAACAAGAAAATGTGGAGATGGATATCCTTCAAGGTTACTATTAATGACTATATTTTTTTCATGGATTAATAAAATAACATGTTATAAATTTAATGGAGGTCAATAATTGTGGCATTGTCAACAAGGGACATTCAATTGAAGTTAAAGACTTTATTTTTAACAATACTTAGAACCTTTGTAAAGTGAAGAACTTTGATGGCAAGATAAAAATCCCTTCTTACATATAAGTGCTCATTATTTACATTTTTATCATCTTCCTGATATTTAATGGCACAAAGTCTCGTGGTTCAAAGACCAATCCATAAGTTGGTTGGAAAGTTTACATTAATGATTTCGAAATAAATGACCATTTATTGCCAAGATATGGTTACTTTTGAATGTGCCTTATGCAATTCCCTTAATGAATCCCATAAATATCTCTTCTTTGAATTTATATCTCTATGTCCATAATTCTTGATTGTCTACCATTTTATGGTTTCTTTCATGAGGGTTGCAACTTACCACAAATTTTCCAAAAAGCTAAGAATTTGGATTATAAGATTACCGAAAGATTTTTACATTTAGCTTCTCAAGGCATTAATTTTATATTTGGATTGAGAGAATCAATATTATATCTAACATAATTGCTACGCCTTATTGTCTTCTTATGGAAAAAACAAATTTGCAATATGTTTGAAAAGCTAAAGGTGGAATTTTAAAGATGATGTACCCCACACATGGTATGTATACCATATGATTTCTTACTTGCAAATTCTCAATCTTTGCATTTGAGGAACTGCTATGTTTGTTTCCTATACTCTTCTGGATGGTTTCTCTTTATTATTACCTTTATATTTACATGGAATTATCTTATATCAGCAATAGCCCTAGAACTACTAGTAATTGGCCCATTACTTATCAAGCATTTTGGTTAGTGGTTACTACAAAAAAAATGGACACCGATTTTGTAATTTTTTTGTTGCAGCCTCTTTATCTCAAATTAAAGGTGTTCTTAGTATCAAGTTGAAGTCCCCCTTTATTTATCCTTGAATTTTTACCTATAGAATCATTGCTCAAGGTTAAAAATAGCCAGCAAAAAGAAAAGATATGAGAATTCAAAGAGTCCATCAACTTCATATAAAAAGTTGTTTACGTTCATTCAAATATTGAGATTTGTCTCTCCAAAATATATTTATAGGAATTTTTTTTAAAATCAAAATAATATTTACATATTGATTTTTATAGAGCTAGTAAAATGAAATTATAATTTACGGGCATTAACATATATACCAACAATTTCTATGCATTTACATATCTAACCCTAAACCTCTATTTTTTTACATTCATTCAACCTAAATCATTCATCACATAAACATATCATTACTTTAAAAATTTAAAAAATGATCTATACATTTTCATATATAAATAAAATGACACCAATATAAAAATTAGAACTTAAATACTTATCATGCAAATATATGGGAATTAAGTGGCATGTAACCCTAATTAAATAGGTTAAACAAGAATCTCACCTAAAAGCACGTGCGAGTTTATTACGGCAAGCCACAAGGTTGGTGGGACGGTGCACTGGCATCGTTAGATCCGCATCCCGCAGCGCCTTTGGTCCATTTCAACGGAAAGTTTTCCGCTCGTTCCACGTGACAATGGCGGAAAATTCATCGATTATATACTCCCCGTTCTGTTTCATGAATGGACGGGAAGGGGGAGAGTAGGGAGGCGCAAGGAGAAAAATTTTTCCCAATAATGCAGAGCGCAGCATTTTCCCTCTCGCCTTCCACTCCTCTTCTCCGATCACGGAGCACAAACCCTAACCCTAGATGCCGGATCCTTTCCGCCTCCCCCACAGTGAAGCTGCCGACTGCTTTGATCCGAGGCTGCGTCGCCGTCGGCGGCCTCCGCGCCATATCGCCAAGGCTCGGTGGATGGGAACATGCCATCTCTTCCTCT